CAGAGATATGCAGGTTGGGTTTTCTGCCTCCACATGTCATCTGGTGCTGCAACCCAAGGTGCTTTTTCCTCACTCCTTTCCAAGAGCATCCAGAGACTGTTCGGACACTGTAGCAGTCCTGCATGTCAAACCAGCTGTAAATACCTGGCATTTTCTTTACTTATGAGTACATGGTTTTCAATTTTGATCAAAACTGACTGAATCAAGGGAGAGTTTTACTACTGACTTCTAAAGATATCTTTTTAGATATCTCTATCACCATCAGCCCAACTATCGCCACCTTAACCAATTTCAGGTTGTTATAAGTTTCCTCCTTGCTTTTGGTTTCACTGCAATCACCTACAATATCCTCATCTTCATCTACATTCTTAGAAACATTGTTATTCCCATCAGGGGCATCTGAGAACTCTTCACAAAATGCTTCAGTACCACAGTCTCTGATTGACGCTGTATGGTCTAGTTTTATTGGTTCAGCAATAACTGAGTTTGGTGCTTGATTTCTTGAATGCCAGTGTCTTCATCATTAGCAATGTTATCCTCTTTCTTCTCTACTTCTTCTGGAGTTTCCATGACTTCCTTCACTGCAGAGGAATTTAAGCTCTGATCATATTCATTTTCCAAGTCACTGCAGTCTTTGCTGATCAGCTGAGCTTCAGGAAGTACACTGTATTATATACCTCAGATTGTGGGCACTCAGTACCGCACTGATTTCCATCATATAGCTCTCCATCATATAAGTCACTATTTGACATTTATTTAAGTAATGACTTAAACACTGGATCTTCCCTCAGAGTCAGTGGAGAGCTTTCACTTGGGAGCAATAAATGGTTTGGGACCCCTACACATAGAATTTGGGTTATGAAGAATGTCAGTCCTTGGCAGTGAAGGAGAAAATTTGGAGACAGCTACCGAACAAAGGTGACCAGTAACTTCTGGTTTTGGTGCTCATGCTAGCTTTGTGATTTCTGGAGAAAAGAGAGAAAAGTCACGTTAGTCAACTTGATGTCTTATTAAAGCCACCAGTATATATTCTACAGTAGACTTTATCTTATACATTATATTTGTCTTTTATAAAGCCGAAGGAATCCAGCCAATAAAAGGCCTGTTCTGAAGAGAGAACTGCTACAGCAGTGAATATGTACTGTGCTTCCATGTGGCACTGCAGCTATTCCAGGGAATGTGGTGCTCATGGACTGGGTTAGGTTGAGGTTGGACTTGATGATCTCTGAGGTCTTTTCCAAGCTGAGCAATATTATGATTCTGTGATTCTATGGTTTAGAGTCATCATGAAACAAAGCAGCCCCAGCACAGCTGGAGAGGAAAAGGTGTACAGCTGCAGAGCCAAAGGTGTATCACACAAGTTGAGTAGCTTGGATGCTTTCCTGTGCAACCTGCTCTAGGCAACCTGCTTTAGCAGAGGGGTTGGACTAGATTATCTCCAGAAGTCCTTCCCACCCTCTATGATTCTGTGATTCTATATACTACAAGACAGGAAGTCATTCTTACTTATGAAACAGTCTCTTGAGAAAGAAACACCCAGTTAGACCCCTAAAGTCCTAAAGATGCAGGGAAATAATGAACTCTAAAAACTTTGTGTGAGAGGGAAAAAGGCTGTGCTTAAATGCTTGTTGTACCAAACACTTTAAATAAAGCATTTTTCCAGTTTTATTATTTAATCTTGAACATGAGCAGTGATATTCAGTGTATATTTCCTACAGGGAATGGCTTGGTTACAGTGGTCAGAATATGGTTCCAAAGACAGGCGAGATGCCAAGGGATGGGGTAAGGAGAGCAGCTCATCAATGAATCAGGAGGCCCTGTTCAGTTTCTAGCACTGGCACAAAAGCCAAACAATGTAATGCTCCTAAAGCTGCTGAAACGTGTTCTCTCTGAAAAAGTGGCCAGCCCCACTGGGATTTAATCCATGTTAAAACCTTAAGCTCAGAGCTCAGTCCAGCAAAAGGTGTTTAACTGTGAGGAAGATTTTATTCTGATCCAAACCAAAATTAGAAGTGTCAGGTTTCCTTCAGGAAGAGCAAAGCCTGCAAAGCCCAAGAAAAATAATATAGCTTATTTGGAGGTTTTTGCCATTATTCTGTATGGGCAGGATACAGCCTCAACAGTAGCTGTGAGAATGGACAGTTTCCACATGTGCCCACCTAAGGCAAGAAAAAATGAAAAGGACTACAGTTGAATAGATGTCATGCCATGGTTTTTCCTGTATCTACAAAGAGGCAGGCATTGCAAATTGTCAGCATGTCAGAAAAGAAAATGCATGCCCAAATCCATTGTCAGCTTTTACACTATCTTTCAGCATGGCCTGCAGACTGAGCCATGTCACAGACATGTTGTTGGAATGGACACACTGGATGAAATGTTCCCCAGCCTTACTGCTATCATGCAGGACATCAGTCAGATGCTCTGCACCAGCCTGCACAGCCCAGCAGCTCAGGCTCCTTCTACACTATGCTCTCCTGGAGAGCTGATTTGTGGTTTCTGACAGGCATGACCTTCTGATCCAACTAGACTAATCCAGTGCAGAGAACAAAAACACTGTGAGTGTATCTCCTGAACAACAAAGAGAATTTCTTTGTTTAGCTCTATAAGCAGGTGGGTGCCACCAAGAAAGGGCAGTTGCCTTTAGGGCAGATACAACAGGTCATCTCTTTTGCTTCAGACTTCAATACTGTGGTTCTTCTTTAAAGATTTGCTCCCTCTTCCACATTTCCTTTTTTATTTTCCTCAGGATGTTCCTTCTATCTGAGAGCATATAATCTTGGTCTCTTTAGAGGGTTCAAGTTAGTAAGAACCATTCTCCCAAAGGAGTGCAGGAACTGCTGCGTCACTCAGCCTTTTGTAAACATCAGTTTTCTTCTAGAGCAACATGCTCAACAGCCTGTTTTTAGAAGGAAACAATTCTGAACAGAGGTTAAAAAGAATAGACTTCAGTCACTTCCTTCTTCAAGAAAGCAGGAGTAAAAGGAGAAGAGATTTTATGTTTTGCAAGCATTTCTTATAGTTTCCTGGAGCATCTGCACTTTAACTTTACATCTCTATGATGCTTCTACAGATCTCCAGAGGTTTTAATGAATTCTCCTCATGTTCTTTTGTATGAGTGAAAATCCTTACAGTAATGCAGTGCTTTCCTGTTTTACACAGATGCTGTGGGACTTGACAAAAGTCAGATAGTGATTCAACCCACCAACATCCAGCCTAAGTCTACAGTCTCACCTGTTTCTTCCTGTCATCACCCCTGGAGATCTAGTTATATCATAAGAATAGGATCCTCCAAGACTTAGCTGGACAACTGTATTTCTCCCCTCCATGTTTGTTCTTGGTTTTAGCCTTCCTCTTTGCATGTGGGGAGATAAGTATACTAGGAGACCTTACAAACCATCATGATCAATGGTAATCTTTGACATTAAGTCAAATCTGTAATAATATCAGTTACAAAGCATTTTGTCTGTTTTCTTCAGGTTCATAGCACTCATTTTCCACCTAGTCACACATTTTGGCTTGTAGCCAGTCTCCCTCCTTGGGTAGGTCAACATCTACACACCCTCCAAGCCTTTTCCATCAGCCTTCTTGTAGGAAAGAAGAAAGTAGGAACTGATGGGGGGAAGCAGCAGCTCCCTAACAGAACATCCTAAAAGTACGAAGCCAGAGGGATTGCATAGATGTAGAACTATGCAGCACCAATAAATACAAATTAAACTCATAACAAGAAGTGAAATATTAGGGCCAAGGTGACATTTGGACTGGAGGTTCAGCCAAGCTTTGCTTTAAATATTTTATTGCTGCAGATAAAGAAAGAGCTTATCCAACACGTTTCTCTCTCTTTCGCTTGCTCTCTTTTTCTCTCCCTATGAACCAAAGGGGAAAAAAAAAAAAAGAAAAAAAAAAAAAGTATCTTAACTAGCTTTGGTTGTATTTGAGCTACACTTCAAAGTTTCACAAAAATAAACAGTTTTAAGGGGGAGGAATGCACACTTGTAAAGAGAGAAAATGCACTTTGAAGCCAGCAAGGGACTGCGTGCTCTACGCAGAGATTCACAGCATCCTGCCTGGAGCAGACAAGCAGTGTCCCCCTCCCCTCTGAGGAGCCTCTCCTCCCTTCGAATGGGGCTGCCTGGCAGCAATGGGTCTTTTGAAGGAACGTCAGGATAGCAGGAGCCAGTGCTTTGTTCTCTTCTCCTTCCCCCTGCTATGCTCCTGTTGTTTTCTGCTCTGATTGAAAGTTTCATGTGCCGGTAGCTGTCACTGAGATCTGAGTCTGCACAGCACCTAGCACAGCATCAGTCCTGGATTAGGATGTGGGCTCTTTGGGGTTGACTGCAGCAATGCCAATAATCTACATGATTAGAGGTGGGCTCTGAAACTTGAGAAAGGTGGAGGAGGGTTTGTTTGCCCTGTGCAGAGTCACACAGGGACATGCAAAGCTTGAGGACAGAGCTCTCCTGGACATCATGGGGGGTCTGCACCAGTCCTGTCTTTAGAATGAGATGCTCCACTGCTGGGATCCTCAGCCTTTGGGTTTGTCTGTCTCACAGCACACATTTCTTAGGGAAAAGAAAGGTTCAGCTGAGGGCTCTGGGTGTGCTGGGCCCAGAGCAGAGGAGTTGAGGGGAGCCTGATGGCGGCTGCAGCTTCTCACAGGGAGCGGAGGGCAGCACTGAGCTCTGCTCTGTGTGACAGCGACAGGGCCTGTGGGAATGGCATGGAGCTGTGCCAGGGGAGGGCCGGAGGTGGGGAAAGGCTCTGCACCAGAGGTTGAGGGGCATGGAACAGCCTGCCCAGGGCAGTGGGCAGGGCACTGAGCTGCTGGAGCTCAAGGGGTGTTTGTATGTCACTATCAGATACATAGTTTGAATTTTGGTTGGTCTTGTGTGGAGGCAGGAATTGGACTCAATGATTCTTGAGGTCTTGTTCAAGTTGGGATATTCTCTGATTCCATTTCTCTGTTTTAATCCCTTATTTCCTTCTCTATTCTGTCTCCACAGCGCAGAGTCCCACTGCAGCAGACCCCTTGCAGCAAGCCTACGCTGGAGTGCAGCAGTACGCAGGTCGTTAGTATTAACACTTTCTCCCAGTAAACCTTTTTCTTCTCTAAATTCTGTAAACACAGCTAAGGGGGCTGTGGGAAGGGAGGTGGATCCTGAGGTGGGGACACCTGACAGATCTTCAGATTCAATTTGCATTATCATGAAAACAAACCTAAGGACCCGGAGCACTGGGGAATGGCTCCCACTGAGCTTTACCTTTGTGCAGCTTCAGTGACAGAACTGGACCAGGCCTCCCTAGAACGTACAATGAGCAAGAGAAAAATCAGACCTCTTGGATTGTGGCCACTTTGTGTTACAGAAGATCTGGGGGTCTCCTGAGTGCTGCAGTGAGCAGGGCAGATGGGCAAACAGACCCTGCTGAGCCACTGCAGCAGTGCCTGGCAGGGCACAGTCAGTGTATGTCTGCATACGCCCGTTTTGTAGGGTATGTGTGAACTCTGCTGGTTGTGCATGTGTGAGACACCCCAGCCCTGGCTAGTTCTGATGTGGATGGAGGTACAGATTCGAGGCTTGCCCTAGAAGCTGCGTATACTCCTGGTTTCCCAGCAGCTTCTCCATGACCTCCAATGGGCAGACCTCTCACTCTCACGTCTCTGTGTATGCTGAGCAGCTCCTTTGCAGATGATGGACTGACACCAGCCAAAGTGACCCAGTGCAGACCATGACCCTGCTGTGTTCAGCCTCCCCTTGTGAGGTGTCCATGGCCAACACTGCAAGGAAGCTGCCACCTCAAAGTCATTATTTCCTGTGGTAACTGGAGCAATCATGGGCTCCCGCTGAGGAATGGCTATTATTTCATGTCAGTGCTGTATCTGGAAACTTAATTTAATTCTCCATGTAGGGCTTCATTTGCCGGTATTTTAGTTATTGTCATTTATTGCTTGTGAGGTTTGATAGATGGGAAGCAGCTCAACCCTTTGAGCTGTTAATTAACCCCTCTGCACACACATGGCCCCTATCCCCCTCTCTCTGGGCTCACAGGCGACCCGTACTCTGTATTTTTAGCAGCAAGGCACATCATCTACCATCTGTGGTATTGAATGGCTCCCCTCGTCTGCTTGGTGGGGGAGCTGAGGTGGGGAAAATTGTTTAATTGCTGCACACTGTTTCCACTGTGTTTGTGTAGAAGACTAAGTGTCCATAGACATGAAAGGAAATGTATATCTGAGAATGCATGCAGAAGTGTGCTTCTGTGCATATTCTGTATAGAGTTAGAGAGAGTGGGAATACATATGAACTGTTATTATAAGCATGTGTATAAATCAGAGTGCAAAAGAAAAACGTGGACATGGACTCTGCACATGCCTGTCAGCACAGGCATCAATACACTGAGCTCAAGAATGAGTGTTTTTCTTGTACTTCCTGGGATGGTTACCCACCTCTGGTGGGGGAGATCTCATGGATCTCCGTTTAGACTGCCATTTAGATTACATGGCTGTTCCCGGTGCTTCTGCTACAAAGTTGAAAAGAGAATGGATGCTCAGAGATGAGTGCTACTATCTGAAGCACCACTGTGACACTTCTATTATATCTCAGACTATACGAGGCACCTAAAATACATGGGAAAGCCCGTCTCCAGCTTCTTGTGGTTGTTTGATTTGAAAGTTTCTTGCTTCCCAGAACTGAAATCTATCCTTTTCTTCTCTCTCTTTCTTTTCTCTACAGCTGCTTATCCTGCTGCTTATGGCCAGATTAGCCAAGCGTTCCCACAGCCACCTCCCATGATACCACAGCAACAGAGAGAAGGTGAGTAAGTGGTCTGTTGTTTTCGCTGCACCCAGCATGCCATCCCCTCTACACTGGTTCCCCTCCTCGTACACCTAGAGAGCATCCATTAAATGCCCCATTGCTTTGAATCCCTGGTCCACTGAGTCGTTTCTCAATTTCCATATGTGGCGTTACTGGCACACTGCAAACATCCTCATGGGAAATTTCTGCCAAGATCTCCTAAGATCCCAGGGAGAGGAGCATGCTGATGTGCAAGGGCCATGGAAAGGCCTGTTAGCAGTGTGGACAATAACATCCAGTGGGGATTGTTAAAGACAGCCAACAAGAGTAATTGTACTGGAATAAAGAATTTAATAGGAAACAAATAATGGTGATCATTCATTAGAAGCCAGTAATGTAATTTCAGACACCTGCTATTAAGTGGAGCTGATTTAGTCCTTTCAGCCTCCCTGGAAACACAAATCAGCCCTTTTTAGAGAGTAATATCTGTATGAGGATGAGATTATTCATGTAGCAAAGATACCTGTTTCTTTACATTGACTACAAGAGGAGCCTGACTTATGTACATGGGACAGGATAGTTGCACTGGAGACAATGAAAGCATGGATAGATGAATCTCCCACCATTGCATGTGATTGTTTTGGGAGGTATCTGCATCATGTAATGCAGAGCAACCAAAGACTTCCTTAAATAAAGAGAGGAGTCATTTATGTTTGCTTTACAGCCAGTAGGGAACAGTAGGAATCTCAGAGGCAACCTGCTCAGATAGCCCCAACCATCCTCCACACTCTCTTTGGACAAGAAACTGCTTTCCTAAGTGAGGCATTTAAGTCAGGTACTTCAGCTTTGTGTAGGGACCCTCATTTTAAATAATTATATTTCAACTTTTACTCCTTACTAGATCACTAATTCAGATATATTCTATATGTGTTGTTATATATATAATTACATTTAATATTTTAATACAGTCAGAATAAAATGAATCAAGATTAGACTATCACACTAAAACATCCTGATGGCCTAGAACTACTTTGGGGGAGAAATCTCATTTTGTGAGAAAATTAGAAATGTCAGCAATTCGATCTAATTTGGAATTAATTTTTTTCTGATGTCAGAATTTCCTGGGGAACACAACTTCCAGCTCCTGATTAGCTCTAGTACACATCCCTGCTGTGAGAACAGATGCACAGACCTAGCGTATCATTACTGAGATGTTTCCCCCATGCTGAAGGACTTTGGTTTTTATTACTTACCGGGGCTAGATTAAGCACAGGACAAAATGGAGAGCAGATCATTGCTTAACATAGCATTATGCCAGGAACAATCCAAAGCAAGGAATAACTGTTGTGCACACTCCAAGCACCATTGCCCAAAGATCCCAATGTTCATACCGCACGGTGTGTCTGTGGGTTGAGGGTGAGTATCACCCAGTGGACAAGTTATCTCATAACTCTTTGCTCCTTTCCATAAGCATCTGATATTAAGAATGACTGGGGGCCAGGTATAGGAGAAGAACCACTGATTCAAGGTAGGCAGCATTCCCAGTGTCCTCCATTTTCATGTAGTGTTTATCTGCTGTGGTTTTCTCTACTGTTTGCTAGAGGGAGAATCTCTAAGACACAACACTGCATTTTAGCAGTGAGTCAAGACCTTCAAACCTCTCTACCCTTTAACAGGAAGATGTAGCAAGAGGGAATTCTAATAATAACAATACTCAATGCTGAAAAGAGTGCTTTATGTTTGCAAGGATGTGCGCAAACACTGATTTATTAATGAACCTATCCTACCACAACAACAACATTGATGATCACATTGTTAATAATGATGCTAACTCTCAGCTCCTGAATCCTGGTTGGATAACAAGCCCAGACTGCTTGGCTGCTGCATAATTCCTGTAAAGATTAGTCATTGCTTCCACATGAGCGCTGAGGCTGTTGGCAGCTGATGGGTTGCACAGGATGGAACAGATCCAAAATTTCCAAAGGTAGAGACAAAGTCTTAACTCAGACCATGTCAACCAGGCAAAACTTGGGGGTAATTTCAAATTTGTATTGTATTACTCATCTTGACATAGTTTAGGAAACAAAGAAGTACACTTGGATACTAAAATAAAGTAGGGCAGGTTTATGACTCTTGCATTCAAGTATGCTGTGGACTAAATAACAAGCAAAGAATAGGCAACAAGTTACAGCCTCAGAGTGTTCACTGATGAGGTGAGGTATATTCCCACTTACCGTGCATCCAGACAAAAGACCACTTGCCAACTTTGTACATCCATGTGGGGACACCTCATTTTTAATTACTCATATTGACAGTTGACATCCAGAAATAGGTTGGGACACTGTTGTCCATCTTAAGTAACTTGCCACAAGCTGGACAGTGATGAGTATGGGCAGAGCAATGACTTAGCAGTTCAAATCTTACCAAGCCAAATCAACACAGACTCAGAACAGATCTCTCTTCCATATGTTCCAGTGTTTCCAGGCACATGAGTTTCTGTTATACAGCATAACCATGTATGCTGTTATACAGCATAACCATTGCCTGTCATATGCAAATCGTTCATAAACTGTGTGTTCCTTACAACTTTTATTTCTTTTTGTCTGAATCCAGACTATCTGTGCTTCCAGTATATTAATGAGCAGCAATACCTATTACTTAAAGCAATAAAACTAAAAGCCGTGGTAGGTGTCAGGATAGAAATGAACCTTGATTCATAAAATGTTGCAATGGTTAGATTTTGAGGTGACTTACAGCCCTTTAGAAAACCAAAGTAAAGTGCTTAGTAAAGAATTTTAGTATTATATTCAGCCTTGAACTGCCAACTGTACCTATCCTCAGTGATCCATTAACTCAGTCCAGAATAAGACCTTTCTCTTAGCAGTAAAGTTTTCACTAAGATTTTGCCATACCAACAGTAATCTTGTTCCAATGATCTTGATCCCTTTAAAACTCTTTGCATAGAACTAACTTAGCGCTTCATAGCATTCTGAGTAGAACAATAAATGCATTCAGTCTTTCAAAAATATACACATATGCAGAAAGGGATGGCCACATGCATGATTATGTCATCTACTGTAGACTGACAGAATTAACTTGACTCAGGAATACGGGAAAAACAAGGTAGAGAGAGCTTGTTTTGTGAATTCTTTACCCAGGAGTCTAACTGTGATAGGTAACTTACGGATGGATGGGTTTAACAAGAAATTGGTTGTTAAATTCTAATGGCAGAATTTTCATATGTGAGGATGATAAAACAAATCAAACTACCCCAGGTTGTTTCTCAGTAGCAGGTGGAGTTTTCAGCATTAAACTAGCAAAAATCCTCTGGAGCTGGGAATGGAGTGAGTTTGGCCTTGAATGTTTGAGTCAGCGTGGGAAGCCACAGCATGGGTTTCAAAGCCACACTTCAAAACAGAACTGGGCTTTGGTCTCTGCTTTCTCACATCCTTCCTGGCCTTTTTCTCTTGGTGTCCAAGCACTGTTAGACAAAGCTGACTTTAAGATGAGCTAAGTGCTGTTCTCTCCTTGAGTCCAGCCTCCAAACCTAGTGTGGATGAAGTTGTGTGCTTCTGATCCACCTTGTGCCTTAGTAGGTATTTCTCAGCGCGTGCAGGCAGAATCTCTCTACTCATGCACAACACATCCAAGACCCCAGGAAATACAGCTGGCATTTTTGAAAGAATTTGCCAGTTTTACAGAGCAAACTGCTGGCTCTGGTGATGTCAGTGGGAATTTTGCCACTAATTGCAGTAAAGCCAAGATTTTACCCATTCCATAATAATGCAGATCTCAAATCCCACAGCAGAAGCGCTCTGGGGCACACTCAGATGAAGAAATGAAATTTTCCCTACTATTCTGGACCATGGTCTTCTCCTGGGCAGCATTTTCTCAGCTCTAACAGACACCTAAGGGTGTTGGTGTTTGTTTAACATTTTCAGACTGTTTCATATCTAGCTTATTGTGCCAGTAACTGCACTGTATGTAACTGAACTGCAGAAAGGACTGAAGAAAGGATAGTCGCTCAGTGGGGATACTAAGGAAGAGGCAGACAAGAGCTGAGGGGAAGAATGAAAAGTTTGGCATGAAATAGGGGAGCCTGAGTGTGGGCCACTGAGTTTCAAAAGTAAATTAGTTATGCAGATGACTGGGTGACTAATTGGTTAATTATCCCACTGTACCAGTTTCCCCCCCATTTGGAAGAAACTCAGTCACCATCCCCATGACCTCTAGGAAATGCACGAGATGCAAAGGATCAGCTGTTCCTTCGTGACAGTCCTTTTAGCAAATTAGTGGGGAAAATTGTGCTTAGCAAATATTCATTAGGGCTTCATTTTCCATTAATCCAAAAGGAAATGTGGAGAGCCTGTGACTTCAATCATGCTGAGGCCCAGGAATTTTAATGAGCTTTAAATGGGCATCTGTCAGAATCCTGACTTCGCCTTACTTCTCCTGCCAGCCGGGGGGATGAATAATGGCTAATAAAAGGTGGGAGCATCTAGGCGAACTCCTCTCTCTAACAGGAAAGGCAAAGTTGTAATTTGCTGTGTTACAACACCATAATTATGCCCCAATGAAGAAAACAAGAGTGCTAAAAAAACCTTTTCCTTCTCCACACTGTGCCCCAGCTTTAAATAGGGGAAAGTAGGCTCAGTTAGGTCACAGGGATGTAAGCACAGGAGCTGAGTGGAAGAAGGGCATCCCATTTTGCTCTTTCCTCCTACCCTCAAGGAGAATGCATTAATTCCCCTTCATTTGGACCCTGATGAGCAAACCAGAGCTGGAGTTACCTGTGGAGGTCACTGTAGACCTGGGCAGCAGCTGGAAGTAGCCCTGGAAATAATCTCCCCCACCCAAAAAGTCCTACCTCCTGAGACTCCACAGTTCTTTGCTGGTGACTTAAATGTTTAGGGTTTTTTTCCAACAAAACCACTTGTACACAAATGTGTAGTGTTGCACACTATATGCAGTGATACAAATCACAGTGTAAGCCAGAGGCAGGTCCTACCTCAAAATGCAATCAAAACAGAACATTTTCCATGCCTCGACATAAACAAAAAGGCATTCCACTGAAAGTCTTCTTCTCTGGATATTTGTTACAGTAGTGAGAAGAAAAAAAAAAAAAAAAAAAAAGAAAGAAAAAAAGACAGTTCCTGTCCCAAAGTCTAGGATTTTGGATTTTAATCCATCTATCATCTCTTTTGAGGAACCCTGTGGAATGAGACCAAACTGTCTAGATTATGGGGAGTCTTTGGAGTTAGTCATACTGTGGGGACAGAATGCAGAGTTCTACAAAACAAAACAAGTCCAGGGGTCTCTGTATTTTCCCTTCTACTGGTATCTCAGTCTTCACAGGAAACGGGAAAAATACTGAAACACTTGGGTGCAGTCCCAGAGAAGTAAAGGTTAGGGGGTGGTCACCCAAAACTCTACAGATTAAATGAAGTACTAAGAGAGCCAAGAACTGGATGTATTTTCTTTTTTTGTTCTTTTCCTCTACTTTATTTTTTCCATGGCCACGAGTGCTCCTGTATTCTTCTGATTCTGTGTTTTATTCTGGTGTTTGTGCTAGGAAGGTTAGCATAGACACATGGCGACTTTCTGAGTTCCTAGTCTTCTGCTTTCTTTGTTCCTCTTAAAGTGTCTTGAAGACCAACATGGGAGAATAAGGAAGGGTTCTTATGATAGATGTCACATTGCTAGACATGGAGTTTTACGAAGAGCTTTCAGTCTGGAAAAGAGGAGGCTCAGGGAAGACCTTATTGCTCTCTATATCTACCTGAAGGGAATTGTAGCGAGCAGGGGGTCAGCCTCTTCTCTTGTGTAACTGGTGATAGGACTGGAGGGAATGGCTTCAAGCTGTGCCAGGGGAGATTTAGGCTGGGCGTCAGGAAATACTACTTTTCTGAAAGAGTGGCCAGGAAGTGGAACGGGCTGCCCAGGGAGCTGGTGGAGTCACCGACCCTGGAGGTGTTCAAGGAACATTTGGATTTTGTGTTGAGGGATATGGTTTAGTGAGAACTATTAGTGAATGGTTGGACTGGATGATCCTGTAGGTCTTTTCCTTGGTGTTTCTGTGATTCTGTGAAGTGGTAACAATAAAGAGATGAGCCAGTAAAACTTAGAAAGCACATCCCACACCGTTTCCCAAGTGAGACACACTGAGGAGCCGTTTCTTCAAGACCCCTAAATGCAGGCCAGGCTCTGCAGACTGCTTACTGACAGGTATCCCTCACCAGTCACAGAGAGGAGACACAGCAAAATAAATCCCACTGTGTGCTTTCTCAAATCCCACTTAACTCTATTCATGGTTCTTATTTTTTTCTTGACAGGACCAGAGGGCTGTAACCTGTTTATCTACCATCTGCCCCAGGAGTTTGGGGATGCTGAGCTGATGCAGATGTTCCTGCCATTCGGTAATGTCATCTCCTCGAAAGTGTTTGTGGATCGGGCGACAAACCAAAGTAAATGCTTTGGTGGGTAAAGATAACAAAACAATTAGATTCATCCAGGAAAGGGCTTTCTCTGAATACTTTACCTTTCAACTGCTTTCTTTCTGCTTAACCTTTTATGATTTCTCTCGATTTATTCCTGTCAATACTTTCCCCCTTCCCTCTTTCTCTCCTAATTGTCTCATGCTCAGAATTGTATGCGCTGCTTAGAGGTGAAGGTTTGGCATCTCACCAGCAACTGGGTGCTGCAGTTGCTGGTGGTGGGGTGGAAAATATCTTGCCTCATAAGGGGAGCTGAGGAAGGTGCAGAAAAGACTAAAGCACCTGCAGCAGAATGGAGGAGGCCAGGGGGTTAGGTGAAATGCTGATGGGGTCAGCAGTGGGAGCATGTGGCAGAAGGAGAATTTCTGTATCTAAGACAAAGCAGGAACAGGTCATGAAGTCAAAGGGAAGACAGAGCTTGAGGAGCAGCTCTCCAGCAGGTGTGATACATTAAACTGCAAAGGGACAAAGGCTGAACAACATTAGTTGAATGCCTGTAGGAATGGCTGCTCAGTGAAATGCCAGCAACCATGCTCTGAACCCACCAGACCTGAGCCAGCGCTACAGCACATACAAACAGCCTGAGATCACCCTGTGCCTCAGCTGAGTTTGAATAAATACTGCGCTCACACAGCTCTGGGCATATGGCTGGCTCAGCTCCACCAGCTGGAGCGTGAGTGGAACACAGCCTCAGCTGCGTGTGGTCGGCCAGACAGGGACACCCCAGTCTGCACCCACAAGGTTGGATCAGCCTGCCAACAGCTGTGTGGTGACGTGTTTCAGTGAGATTTCACTGTTTGCAAAAGTGTTACTATGGAAGGTCCTTTCAGGCAGTGCAGCAGCAGGCAGACCTTGCCACCCTGCCACGTGGCACTATCCCGCTGGTGGACTGGGGATCTCTCCCATCCTCATGCTCACCAATGGGATGTGAAATGTCTTGTTCTGTGCCATCCAGTACTCCTTGCAATTCCATTAGAATTACAGTGGGACAAACTATTGCTTTTCTGTTCCTGTTACCTGCAGTTGATCTGGACTCTGTTTCTCAGGCAAACTTCCAGAGTTAAGACTTGTTGGAGTTTCATTTGAATTTAAAGTCACTTTCAATCTCCACACTGCGCTTTCCTTCTGTGCTACTTTCCCCACTCCCCTCCCAGATAGCCCACCTCCCAAAACTCCTACCTCATTTCTTGCTATGGTGCAAGACAGACAACACTTCCAAGAATTTTGTGCATCTTCTCTGTGCACAGTTTCTCTTTGCCCTCTACAGAGGGTCAGACAAGGTTGCTCTTTGATTCTAGAAGTGTTTTTCCCTGGTGTGAGAAGACACAGTAATTCCCTTCAACATAGTCATGGGATTCCTGTACTCCCAAACACTGGAAGAAAAAAAAGATACTGGTTAGAAGAAGCAGTTGGAAAGTTTAGATGAGAAATTACGAATTATCTGCACTCACTCCAGAGCCCACCTTCTTTGTGGAGTTTTAATCATATAAAAGCTCATAACAAAATGAGCAGACCAGCACAGCTCTAGGTGACATTGAAAACTAGGGCTCCAAGGATATCAACAGGTTAGAAACAGACCTTTGGGAGTGAAATTGCTATTCCTATCATAAATAATATTTAGGAGAATACTGTGCTTAGCTCCTCTCATAACTGGCAAGGAGAAAGGCAAAACTAAACGGAGATGTGAGGTGAGAAACAGATTCACTACATGTTCTCTTATCTCAAAACTATGGCTGCAAGGCTTCATGAGGATTATAACACATACCTAGCTTGTGGAGCAGTTGTGGGGCTGGCTTTATTGCCACTTTCAAGGTACTTTGAGGTTGTGGCTGAGCAGTGATCGGGGCATTTTAGCACAGTTTTTTCTTAAGCATGAGTCTTACTGGAAGAACCTAAACCACAACTTGTTTAACGCAGTAACATTCGATGCTGATGTTAGATTATTCAAGCTTGAACGCAGGAAGGTGCACTGTGGATGTACAGACTCAAGACCAAGCAAAAAGAGGAAATAGAGATTGCTATTTGATTTTAGTCATCTTATATTAACTTCTGAGCTACAAACATCCAGGTTCAGTCAGTTTCCCAGGTGTCCCAGGTGTCAAGACCCAATTTTCTCTGACTTTTGCTTGTTTTTTTTTTTTTTTTTTTTGATAAAGATACTAACAGTCATGTACAGCACTTCCAGAAGGACAGAAATGGCAGAAGTGCAGGTAGCTAATTATCACAAGTATGTCACTCTGCTCTTCAAAACCTCCAACCCTGCTAACCTTCAAGTTTAGAGCAACATAAAACTGTGGAGGGTATTAGAGATAATTTCTCTTGCTAAGTCCATTGCAGTTGATGCTGGTTTTATTGTTCTGAAATCCTACCTTTTTAAAAAAAGGAGAAATTATTTTTTCCAAAAGGATTTTTGTCAACTTTGAATGTAACAAAACTCTTTCCTTTTTCTGCTTAAACATTTCCCAAAACTCAACATGTAAAAACATAGCATTTGCATTCTGTTTTACTTTTTTTAACAAGCCAGAGCTCTCCAACTGGTAGCCTGGGGGGACAATACTGTCTGGCCCCAGAAAGATATTCCACCATTATATGACCTTTTAAAATGTATCTGTTATGCAGATCCCAAGTAAATTGCTCTAACAGAGTCTAGCCCCAGGTTGTAGAGAAATTGTCAAGAAGTCCTGCTTTTGACAAACTTAAAAAATTCCATGGAGAAAAATCTCACTTTTTTTTTTTTTTTTTTTTTTTTTTTTTTTTTCCCCATGGAAAGAGAAAATTCTTCATTTTCTGTTCTTCTGTCACTGTTGAACTACTATTAAGTAGCCAACCCTAAGCAAGTGAGTCAGGAGAGCACCATCTCAAAAAGGGACTTTTATTCCTTCCTGTTTGTCTCTGAACCTGCACTTCCCCTGCACTTTCAGCACAAAGACGGAAGCATTATCTCCTTTAGCCACTGCTGGAAGGGCAGGGTTGGGGAAGACATAGAAGAAAATGAGACCAGTTACAGACCTTTCTCCCAGTTTCCCAGAGTCCAACATCCTGCAGAAACTCATTAATACCTGTGTGCACTGAAAAAAAACGCCCTGCTCATAGAGCCTTTGACTTTCTGAGTTCAGTGGCAAACATTGTGAAATTCAGACTATGGCAAGAACTGATTTCATGCAAAAAAATGTGAAAGTGATCAAAATGTATCTGTTGTTTACCATAGCAGGTCTGCTTGCTGCAGTACATGAGATTGCCTGAGAAACAAACCTGACTTCTCACTGAAAAACAGTCATTTAAAAAGGGAGGCTTTTTTGCCTAAGATTTTCCTCTTGCTGCATGCATCCAGTCTGGACCCAGATCCTCCCTTTTCTCCTACTGTTTTTCAGATCTCTGGCTCTTATTTTCCCCTCTATCCTGATGCAGCTGAAATGTGTCCAAATACACACCATGCTCCTCCCTTGCACTCATCACCACCCTCTCTATCCCCATGGCCTGAGCCCTCATCACACTGACCATATTAGCATCTCCTTGGGATTCCCCTCAGGCACTGCCTCATCCACCCTCTTGTATTCAAAATTATTGATTTCACTTTCACAGCCCTTCACCGTTCTGTCCTTCTCTCTCCTCTCCTGCTAGCTCTTCACTCAATGCCCAGCTGATATTTTTAGCCACTTTAACCACACACACTTCTTTTACCATCACTAGGCCATGCTATCCTTTCCCAGTAAAATGGCAGGGCCACCATAGGATTTGTTGTCTAACTTAAGAAAAAATTACACTTAATTTACCTTGCTTTCTGGACAGCAGTTCCCAGTCTCACAATAGACTGATCTGGGTTGTCTTGCACAGGGACATAATATGCCTGATCATCAACTTCTACAGGACCTGGGGCACTATTTTGTGTCTGTATAAGGCAGAGACTTCCCACTGCATGTGTGTAAGTTCTTCTGTATGTAAATATATAAATATCAGTATATTGATGTGCTGGTCACGGTGGTTCTATGGAAAGCTTTCCTCTGAGATATGTAGATGATTTAACTGTGAGTGATTCGTGCATAAGGAAAAAAAGAAAAATCAGGTAATATGATGCAATTAAAGCTATTAAAGTCAGCGTGAGAAGAGTCACTCTTCATGCTGCCCATCCAAAGTTAACTGTCCCTCTGTGGTAAATATTCAGAATTTCAGGAGCAGTGTTGCTATACAGAATATTCTTCAAGAAGACATTTGAAGAACTAGTGAATGGCAAAGATAACCCTGTTCTAGGAAAATGTTTTAACAGAGAAGAGAAGGCAAAGGATAGGTTTGGGCAATATTAATTAAAAAGACATGACAAAAATGAGAAAAACGAGGAAGTGGATGGAGCAGCAGAGGCCAAATGATTACCCCGAGGTGTCACAGAAGATGTGGATAAATTAAAACTAAAATTGTTATACTGGTGCACTTGAAATTCATTCCTCTGGTCACCTCTTCTTGAGAGCAGTGAGCACCTGATGCTCTGTCTCTTTGCATTTCATCAAGCATCAGACACTGTCAGAGTAACTCTGTTCCACATACCCCATAATACCCATAACGTGCAGCCTCTCACTCTGCCTGTGCCACATACCCTCTGGTGTGGCAACTTCAATTTCTCTTAAGAAGCCAATGACTCCAGAACGATGAGAATAATCTCCTTCATGTCCACAAGGACACTGTGGTTTCCCTCCTTCAATTCAGTGCAGACTGACATCTCAGGTGTGAACAATTACATCCATTGGGAGTTTTTCACTTTTTCTACTCATGGATATTCACACGATGTTGGGATGCCCCATCTCTTTTTGAAAGTCCCCAGTTAAATGTAACAAGGGGCATTCTAGCTTTGTCTGCAAACTCTGATGGCTGCATAAAACCACAGGTTTATTTGGCCTAAAGAAAACATCATTTGATTCTTAATATAATAT